TTTCGCTTACAATACTGCTGTGCAGGAGACTACTAAAGTGACGCCATTCCAGCTAGTCTATGGTCGAGTAGTTACCACACCATTAGATGCAATGCTGCCTGTAGGCGACAATACAGAGCACAAGCCTGACACCAGCGAATTCATTGAGCGAGCCGAAGAAGCACGGCAGTTGGCGCGACATCGCATAAAACAACAACAACGCGTGGATGCAAACCGTTACAACCTTCGTCGGAGAGGAGTCGACTACGCACCAGGCGACCTAGTTTGGATTTGGACTCCTGTGCGGACGCCTGGCCTTTCCGAAAAGCTCATGCGCCGCTATTTCGGCCCTTACCGAGTCCTTCGTCGCGTCAGCTCCTTGAACTACGAGGTGTCACCGGAAGGACAAGTGAGCTCATCAAGATGCCGAAGGAGCACAGAAATTGTGCATGTAGTCAGAATGAAGCCATACTATGACAGGCAATGAACATCGAATTATACACACCCGATTATGAGGAATACCTATTTCTCCATTGGAAATCACGCATTCAGACCATCTCAGCAACACTGCTTTTACGCATCGGGACGATGCGTTTTCGGAGGAGGGATAATGACGCAAAAGTGAACGCAGTATTCAAACTACGCGCGCTAGTTCATGCGCCCCCCCAAGAGATCAGCGGCTTTATGATCAAACAAGAAAAGGCCGTGACGGCGCGCGCTTCCTCAGCACGGGATTTTGATGAAGAAGAAGTGGACCACCACTCGAGCGTTTTTCTCTCTCGGAGATTGATCCCTTTTTGCTGATCGCCTGTTACAGACGCCGCTACTTTTCGGGCACAAGTTCGCCCCAATAAACAGTTATTCGTACACCATTTGGATTGCACGTAACAATATGTATACTTCTCGAGCACGTCATATGTACACATATATTAAATAGTATGCAATAGCATGACTATAATTTAGAAAATTAGCGCGAATTTCGCAAGGGTTTTCATACAATACTGACTTCATCAGATTTATTAACGATTTATTTTCAGCTGTGTACACAAACTTTCAAGCGGACGCCGCATTTCTCCTTTATTCAAAACTCTTGTAGCGTTCTTTATCACATGCTTCTAGTCAAACTAACCTACCTCAATTTTTTTAATGTTGTCTGTTTAGAAAAAGTGGTTGACGATTTAGAGTACTAGGTACTCTGCTGGGGAGAGCTGTGTGCCGTCTCTGCCTCTTTAATGACATGTGTGTTTAGAAAAAGGGGTTAACAATTTTGAGTACTGGATACTCTCCTATGGGAGAGCATAGAGCCGTCCCCTGAGTCTCACAGCATCATTTGCAACTGGGTAGATGACGTGAATGAGACATAACACCGGAATAATGACTTACTGTACAATAGTCAATACGCCTGAGCTAATGCCTCTTTTTTCTGTTCCCGTAACCTCCTGAGTCGCCCAAGGCAGAATACTTGGTTCTCTGTTTTTGTTATTTTTAATAACGATCGGGGAGTAAAGTGTTTTCTCTTAAATTAGATACTTGTCATATGGTTGTGTTTTATATAGCGAATTAGTAATGATGCCGACTGCCTTGACCTTTGAAGTGACATTAATGAAGTAACAGCTGCGTGCTCTTCATAACTGCTGTCTCTAATAGTGTCAATTCAAAGCCAATGCCACTCGCTAAATCATTCCAGTCATTTCTTACAACCTACCTGCTAATAATGCTAGCCTTGAACTTACATCAACAAAAGGAGAGCTTTAATGGTGTTGCTTTGCATGACGATAGTTATAGCCCGAAAACAGAACGACGTCACAGAGACAAGAAGAACACGAAGGGCACGTGTCTCTGTGTCGTCGTTCTGTTTTCGCACTATAACTATCGACATGTCATACCAACTAGCCCAAGCTGCCACACTTGTAAGTTGATTTGCAGTCTAGTTAGCCATCCCATTATGATATAGCACTATCATAATTTCAGCTGAAACAAGCCAAGCGTGAAACATGCAGGAACTACCCAAAAATTGTTTACATAACTCTCATCCGTCAGGAAGTGAATTATGTCTTTGTAATATGAGATTCTGATCTAGAATATGCCATCAACATCATCGATTCGTTCAACACCCGTGTTGTTGACTTCATTGATTCCACTTACTGTCCCGGCAATTTAGCATGCCAGATTGGAACCACTATCAAATTGATGACTCTGTGCTCCCTACCCTTATTCTCATAAACTGTACAATCGTTGCGCGCTTCATAATGACTTGCTTTATTCGCCCTCTGCAGCTTTCCCGCGCCATGGCCATGATAACAAAGTAGCCAGCATAAATTCCGGCTGACATCTTTCCTCTAAATTGTTTAAACTACAAGCAATAATTGAATAAAATAACCTAGCGTCATCCACAAGAAGAAAAACTAATTTACAACTTTTTAGCTTTGTTACGCGAAAACAATTTTACTTACTCTTATGTCACTTCCTCTTTTGGTATATACCCAATAACAGTCTTCGCATATGTGTGCATTTAAAGGGGTGGTGACACCAAATTTTGAGGCTATCCCAAGCCTACTGTGAGTTTCCTCTGTATGCAAGGACTCTCCACACGAAGAGTCGGACACAACGAACGAATAGAATTTGTTTCAATTCACTTCTAAATGTGTAGCTGTATGCTCACTCTCGCCATCTAGGCAAATGGCTTGCGCAGCAACACTGACGTTTCAGAATAGGAGAAGCAATGACAGTTGTCGTCGCGTCACACCTGATTTGTAATGACGTGAGTGACCTCCGCCATCCCCGAAACGCATTTTGTAAACAAGGAGAGAGCTAGCATGCCTGCTGTTACGAGTTTGCTGGTGTCCCTTGCAGAGACACCGTGTGCGTGCGTCATGAACTCAGCTTGTTTTCCAAAAGACACTCGACGCGTCGTTCAGAGACACTGCGCCCGTTCAACAGAGGGGCTGTGTCATCCTCTATCAGCATCTCGGCGCTTATAAAAGGCCGGCGCATCGAGCGTCGGGCTGCTTCCTCGTCCTCGTTCTGTACACACGTTGTAAATATCAACGCTTTGTTTCCTTCTAGCTGCCTTTTGCGTTGCCACTGCCTCGATGCTACTGCAGCTGGCCATGATAACTGTCAACGCGTTTGTTTTGCTGGCGCTTGTTGTGGCAGGTGTGTATGAGAGTAGACGAAAGTCAACGCGATATGCGTGAGATCCTTGTGTGCTCACGTGACTAAGCGACCTATGCATCAACGTCACTTCCCAATTCAGCACCGTGAAACCGAAACCAAATCTGGTCCACATAAACAGAACAATATTAAATTATTTAGCGAAAATACACGAATATTGTTGTATGTATCATGCTTACTGGAGTTGAAAGAAACGCAAGCGTGCCCCGCCGCGTTGATCTAGTGGTTAAGGTACTCGGCTGCTGACCCGCATGTCGCGGGATCGAAGCCCAGCTGCGTGGCTGCATTTCCGATGGAGGCGGAAATGTTGCAGGCCCGTGTGCTCAGATTCGGGTGCACGTTAAAGAACCCCAGGTGGTCGAAACTTCCGGAGCCCTCCACTACGGCGGGGTAATGCTTTGGCCCCGTACCTGTCTCTTTTATATTAAATGTTTTTCATCATCATCATCCACTACGGCGTCTCTCATAATCATATGGTAGTTTTGGGACGTTAAACCCCACAAATCAGTCAAATCAATCAAGAAACGCAAGCTTACAGCAAAAAACATTCATGCCACAAATTTGTTGGCACCACCACTTTAATTCAATGCTGCATCAACTTATTGCTACTACACGTCTACAGGGTGTCCCACATAGATTTAGCCAGAGTTTAAAACGTATCGGAATACGTAATTATGACGCGACCAAATGCATGTTACTCACCGTTGCCTGGAGTTAGTGAGACTATTTTTTGTGTTCTCAAATATTGTTCAATTAGATGAAATAATTAACTAACTATTCAAGAAGCGAAAATAGAGAAAAATGTCAATGAGAAAGTTGTAGATCAGTTTTCAAAATGTACGATTAGAAAGTTTTAAACTTTATATCTGTTAGGCATTAGTGTTTTTCGGCTAACTGCAATTTCCCACGAAATAAAAAAATACTACGTGACGAACCTGCTCGCGCGTCAGTGCGCACGATAATTCTAATGCTCCCTAACGTTCCGCGTACGAACGACACGCTTCCCTCGCAACGGTTCACGACAGCGATAAGCTGTCCCAGCGGTTATCGTTTTTGTGGTTGATAGCAAAACTTGTTGATAGTAAAGCCACCACCATCGTTGCAGCCATGCCGAGACAGTACAATGGGACAAATGCTATGGTCGTTCGTACGTGGAACGTTGGGGAGCACTAAAATCATTGCCCGCACTGGCGCAAAAGTGGGTTTGTCACGTGGTACTTTTTGTATTTCGCGGATATTTGTAATTAGTAGAAAAACACTAATAACTAACAGATATAAAGATCAAGACTGTCTAATCGGAGGTTTTGCAAACCGATCTACAACTTCCTTATTGAAATTTTCATGTATTTTCGTTTTTTTTTGAAAAGTTAGTTAATTAAACTTATCTGCTTAAACAATATTTCAAAACACAAAAAATATTCTCACTAACTCCAGGAAACGGTGAGCTACATGCATTTGGTCGCGTCGTAATTACATGTGCCGGCATATTTTTAAACTCTGCCTAAAGTCACGTGGGACACCCAGTATATTTTGCAATTACAGTGAATGTCTGAACTTCATACTTGCGTTTTAAACTATAATCCTTCTATACTTGTGCATTATTTCAATTTTTGAAATCATTTCTTTTTTTTCTAACGTATCGTGCTGTTGTATTTTGCGCAATGGCATAGATTTTTTTTGCTGACTACTATTTCTTGTCTTTCGAATGTTCTCGCCACCCCCCTTCCTGGTAAGGGGTCTGAGAGGTATTTTGAATAAATAAATAATAAATAAATACTTTACGCTATTTAAGAGCATCTAATTTAAAGTAGTGTCCATGCGTACGATCTTGCGTAAAATGCACCCACCTAACAAGTAATCAGTAGAGTTAGTTTCAACCGCTAAAAGCTGGGATCTGTTCCAAACATAACTAGCATTAGTATTATTCTTCATTGCTTGCCAGACATTTATCAAGTTGAGCCCATCGATTCTTGCACCTTTCTTGCATTCTTCATCATATTCCGTAGAATTGAAGAAAACCTTTCTTCCTGCTCCAAGAATGACCTGGAAGGGAAACATAAAAACCTCACAGTCGATACGTTACTAAGTTGGTACCATTAATTAGTAATTGTGTAATTGATGTGGAATGTGATAGCAGTAATGCCGTGTAGTGGTGATAATCAGCGCCTGTGGTATTGCGCAGCTCTTACATTAATAGCGTATGCAATAGATGCGGCAAATAAAAAGTCACAGCTTTGCCCCAAAGGCGAAGCAATGAGCGCGATAGCAACAAATTGGAAGGTCACGCTCAGAATCGAAAGCAGATCGAAACATTCCCCACTTTTCTCACGCACAAACGACGCAAAAAACGTAGTCGCAGGTACAGATGCACGCAAATGAGTGTCCTAATTGTTACTTGGCTGTGTATCAAAAGTGCGCGCGTTTCGCAAACGGAGAGTGCAATGATTGCAGTGGCCTTTGTGCACCGTTTCAGGTAGAGCCCTAAGCCAGCCAAGATGTACGACCTTCCCCTCCTCCCCACCACGAATTAACGGCGCGCGAGAGAGCGTCACTCTCCTCCTCTAAGTGGAGCAAAGTACGCGTGATACATTAGAGCGTGCGCCACTGCGCGTTGTGGCGAGCGAAAAAGCCAGCGCGCGCTCATTGCGCCATCTTGCTGGTAATACTAAAAACACAATAATTCCCTCCGAGATGTCCGTGAGCAGCGGTAAGTGGTAGATATAAATAGCTTGCCGTCGGAAGGACGATGGACGTGCTCCTCGGTGGCTCAGTGGTTAACGCTTTGCACTTACGATAAAGAGGACCCAACTTCGATTGCGCTCACCGGAGTCTTTTTTTGTTATTTTTCTTTGTTGCATTTTTATATGCATAGATATGTACACACATACGGTGATTGACGCCGACGTCGACGCCGACGCCAGCGACAAAATACAGCCGAGAGTGTCTATGTAGGTGCTATCACAATAGAAAAAACGTCAACGTTGTGAACGTGTGCTATTTGCCGCAACGTGTTGGCTTGGAAGAACATTTTTTCTATAGAAGTACAGACATGATATTACGACATAGCAGAAGATATATTTTTTTCACTTCCTTGGTGGGCAGTGTTTTTATTTCCTTTACGTATAGGGTTGACAGTCGGCCACAAAACACGTATATTTTATTTTAGTTTATATACAAACTTATCGTCACTCAGAATCTTCAAGATCACACAGGAAGAAATAAGCTGAGGAGAGGCTGTTACGTCACATTTCATCAAGCCGGCAGTAGGGAAGAGTAGAGCACTCCTCTCCATTGTGGGCACGCTACGGCGGCTAGTGCGTGCGCAGTGGGCGCCAGCAGAGAGGGAGGCGAGCCGATTTCGGAAGCGTCGGCTGCCAAAGCCACAGCCTTCTGAACTAGAAAAGCAAAACTTTATTGCTAATGATCAGCAAATGTGCAGTGATATTTGCTTGTGAAGTGAGTGAGTGCGGTTCGCAGTCTCAGCGCGAATCTACAATAAATTTGCAGCTTTGCAGTTTGTGTTTAATCCACTCAATGCAAGGAGCAACGTCGTGAATTGGCCAGATAATCGCCATGATAGGCGGTTTTCTTCGGCACATATGGTAAGTTCTTGGTGCGAACGTAATGTAGCATTGAAATGTTATTTAGTTTGTCTTGCTATTTAGCCAGATGAAATACCTCCGAATCCTTCTTCGACCTGTTTCTCACGATTCGGGCGCACGAGTATCGTTCGCAGCAGTGTGCTGGTTGGCTGACGGCGAACATATCGAAAAAAAAACATTTACCAAAGATTAGGAGAACCCATGCAAAATGTTACCAGAAAGTGATAAGTCAAAAAATAAACCACCTACTTTGTCATGTAAGTCTAATTCTAGGCTCGGCAAGCTCTGGTGAGAAGAGTGTGCCACGTACCGCTTTCCCATAGTTGTGACCATCGTACGCGAGAACAGCTCCCTGCCGTTTTCCGCATTAAGAGTCGTAGACACTGCCGTTGTCGTCTTGATAATTTAGGCTTCAGTTGCTGAAGAACGCAAGCCCAGTGCCGAAGAAAAACAGCAAAGCTGTGGCACCAATAATTTTCAAAAAGTGGTCACGAAATTCGAAAACGACCACTTCTGATCTCAAGCAATATAAACTAAACCCGCAATCATGAAGACCAACTCTCACTGAACGCTTCTGACACACTGCATCACTTTTGAAGTGTTACAGCTGCATAAATATGCATACACAGACCTACAGCTGGCTATCAACAAATCGGTTTTACGAGTGGTGATGCAGATGACACGAGGCGCCAGCGTGCCCACGTTGTCCCACAACCCCCCCCCCCTGCAAAATCATGTGACTTCCGCCACACTTCTCGCTCTGCTGATCGCATTGCAAGGGCCTCTCCTTAGCTTACCTTCCGCTATGTTCAAGATACTACCACCGCAAGGAACAGTATTATGACGAGCCGACAGACTTCCCAGAATTTGTTAACTCCGTGTCCTGAATGCGATTCTGTATCAGATGCCCTTCACTTTAACTTTGTTTGCGCTAAGAAAATGGCTGTTTGCGCTAAGTAAATGCTACTAGCAGCAATTTACAGAGTGCTGCAAGGCATCAGAAGTTTCCAGCCCCCCAGATCTATGTAACATCTTATTATACGTTACTTTTATACAGCCATTTCTGCACGAAATTCAGAATGGTTTTCCAGGGAAGCGGTAATAATATATCGGAAAATGCACGTGAATGAGCAAATTACACTTTTAGTGTTCTTGAAGAATCCGAACGCTTTTTGTGCGTGATCAGATTGCACTGCTCATTGTTAGTCGAAGCAACCAAGAACACGTGAGCGAAATAATATAGCACAGCTCGCAGCCTGGTATTTATTTCATACACTCTCAAAGCCCCTCAAAATCACTTTTTCTTCTAATAACAAGTGATTCTGCATAATGTTATGAGGCCAAACGCCAACACGGTCCCGAAGGCGCCACTGCTACGAAACTCGCCTCTGCCAAGAACACTGGCTGATAGCGTGTGTTTCTCGATCAGCTTGTGACCGCTTCTGCGCAGAGTTGATAGACAAGCGGACAAGATGACGGTGCAATGAAATTATGCTTCAGCGGAAACGGCCATAAGTACGTAGTATATATGCGGTAGGTTACGATAACGACAGGGAAAAGTCTTTCAGTCACGTAGTTAATTTATAATCGGTGCTTCAATTGCCAGCATGCCGACGACGCGGAGTTCTAGCGGTGTGCCCAGGCAAATCGGACAGAACGGGATATGAAGATTACTACAGAATTTTGCCGCGTCGCTCCTTGTGAGCAACACTCCCTGCTACTGAATCGCTTTTTTTTGCGTTCAAACCACTTTTAATGCATCGCGTTTGAAGCACGCTTGTGCGTTTGTAATGCCTCGGCACCACCTAAAGACAGCGCGTTCGTAACGCGTTTGCGCTGCATTGAAGTCGATGGCAAGTCATGTTCATGTAAAGCTGCGTTTCTGAATTTGAAAGTCGGACACTGCAAACCCACCAGTGGGAAGCCCGGACCAGCGTTTGATAAGAGGCATTTCACGCGGCTTTTTTAGGTTAACGTAAAAAAAAACACACATACTAAGGGGCACGTCCGCGATGTGCGTGCCCGAGGAGCGTAGAGCTGACAATTTTTCTGTCATTCCTGTCACATCCGGTCAGAAGTGTTGGCTTCGTTTTTTCTAGTTTTGGTCTCAAAAACACCGTCGTTTTTAGGCTTTTTTCTAAAGTAAGCGCTTGTGTGTCCAAGACGACATTCGGCAGGCAGCACTACCTCTAGCTAGACTACCTATATATTAACTTCTTGCGGAGTGCCAAATTTCATTGCAGTAGACTTTTAAGTCAAGGTTTATGTACAGCATAGAAATAGAGGCGTTACATATCAGGCACTGGGGCCGACAGCTTAGGGACTCGAAGAGCCGAGATGTCATCTCTATGACGCATACGTCAGCTTCTCTCTGATGCATAGGTTGGCTGTTTGGCGAATCACCGCGTGGTACTTTATAGTTCCCAGGTGATCCTTTACTTCATCAACGTCCAATTAGAACTACTGCTGGGTCGCGTCAGAATATTCCAATGAGGGCCCGCCACTGGTTTGCGTCATTGTCCTCAAATCCGGAGCCGCTGCGCTGGGTTGCACCCAAGAAGGAGTAATGTTGCCACGGATTGCGTAAAACTCGCCAGACTAGATGGTGCTGCTTGCTTCATCGGGCCTGTGGGCTGAGGGAGCTCGCCGTACGTTGCGTAAGACAGACAGGTGCCGCCGCTTGATGACGTCGTGAAGTTGATGGCGTCAGGTGGGCTCGCTCACTGGCCTTCACAAAGATTGCCTTTGCAGAGGCAATGACGTTCGGTGTGGATCGCCGCCAGACAGTGCGCCGGAAAGACGAGCTGCTTCCACAAGGCTCGGGTATCAGATGCGCTCGTTCGCCAGGTCCCTCCAGGTTCGCCTCCAGGACCAAGGGACGAATATGGTTTTAGGCTAAGTTCCGCGAACACATCCCATTCTTGAGAGCAGATCCCAGCTCCACTGGCTTGTTGCCAAAACTTGTCGACTAGCTTCGCTCATCTCTTCTGACGATTTTTCGTCTCAGTATTTGTCGATGGTTCTGCAACTTGTCAAGAACGGTTCGACAACATACAACACATGACACAAGCAAGTGCCTTCGGTTACCCGACAGAACACCAGGCAAGGCATAGTACAACATGTACCTGCCTACGTATCTATTGGAATTTCATTCCCTCTACATCAAGAGGATCATGTGGGACACAAAACTTTTAAAATGAGAACTCAAATTTTTACACGTACAACAACGTAGTGAAATAGAATACAGCATAAAGTTGGCCCCTTGAGATCACTCTGGACGAGAACGCTCAGCTAAGGCCGTGATGAGGACAAATTTTGTCCCGACTCGCAGCGAAAGACCGCAAGGTCGAGAAGGAACTAACTAAAATGCACTGCTCAATGCGTCTGCATCAGCGTGTAGCTTTCCTTTCTTGTAGCGAACGCTCAAATGGTGCTGTTGGCATATCACGCTCTACCTCAGTAACAAGCCACTTTTAGGCGACATGTTATTTAATCAGGTTACAGGGCAGTGGTCCGGTTTGACCACAAACCTTGAACTGGAGACATAACAGGCTCGCTTTTGAACGGCCCACACCAGGCATGCGCACTCCTTTTCAGAGGTACTGTATGCCTCTTGCTTGTAGCTCAGTTTTCGACTGAAATAAAAAACTGGCCTTTCGTCACGAGCGTCTTCTTGCCACAAAATGGCTCACAGTCTGTGATCACTCGCGACACATTGAAAAAAAAATCTTTTACAGAAATCGGGTGCCTTGAGAAGGGGCTTTTCGTTTAGGGCCTGTTTCAGTTTGAAAAACGCATTCTTTTTTTTTAGTCCCCTACCATTTTAACCGGCTCGGACTTCCGGAGTGCGTCAGTTGGAGGGCGGGCAATGCTAGAGTTCTTTGGCACGTAATTCACGCATTTGGCACGTATCCATCTAGGCCCAAAAATGTCCTTATTTCATATTTTGTTGTTGGTCGGGGATAGTTCATGACGGCGGCTACCTTAATTTCTGAAGGTCTACGCCGGCCACGCCCCACAACGTGCCCCAGGTAACACATCTTGCCGCACTGTAGGTGATATTTAGTTGGTTTCATGGTAAGACTATCTTCTTTCAACCTGTTCAGCACGACTCGCAAATGCACGACATGTTCTTCCTAGCTGTTTGAGAAGATGGCGACATCGACAAGATATGGCAGAGTAAACTCGGAGAAGGCATTGAGAACGTGGTCCATTATGCCTGAAAACTAAGGGCGCATCTTTTTATTCAAAATTCAGCTTAAGTTGACGATACGTTCTGAACGGAGAAACGAACGCGGCATGGTGGCTAGCACGCTCCGTAACGGGTCTTGCCAATACTCTTGCACGAGGTGTAACTTTGAAATATAACTAGGCTGTGACAGAGTTTCTACCCTCTCCTCCAGATTTGGTATCGGGTAAGTTTGGTCTCGAGAATTGGCGTTAGGACGCCGATAATAGATGCATGGCCTAAGATCTTTTCCCGGCACTGATAGAGGGGATGTACATTCACTCTCACCCGGTACTATGACTCTGAACTCCAGTTTTTTACAGATATCCTCTTTCATGATCTGCTTTTGCACAGGGGAACATTGATACGGCTTGCCACGAATCGCTTCCTCAAAAGTTAGCTAGATATCCTGGTAAATCATCGTTGTGTTTCCGGGACAATCCGAAAACACGTTCTTAAATTCGGGAACAATACTTCTCAAGTCCTCCTTCTAGACTTGCTGAGTATTCAATTAACCAGGCTTCAGGTTCAACTGCTCCAAGATTACATTGGATGCCCTTTCGATTGCATCACTAAAACTCAAAATGTCTGCTAATTCTTCCTCTGAAGCATTCAAATGCAGATTTACGACCGCTTGACGTTGAAGAAATGGTTTCATCAAGTTACTTTGGCAAATTTTTTTTGGCTGCTTTTCTAATTTCACTTCATAATTAGTACCAGATAGTTCGATATTACTTTGACAGACCCTTCCTAATGAACCTCAAGCTTGTTCTCTTTGGACAGCCGCAGCAGCATTACCTGACTACCTACTTCAATTGTGCGCTTCTTCGCCGATTTGTCGTAGTACTCCTTTGACAACACTTGTGCAGCCTTCATGTGGCTTTCCACAAGATCTTTTGTTTTTCGAAGCCTCCGAAGGAGGTCTAGAACATACGCAAATACATCAGGGTTCTCATTAGATACCTCCAAGGACTCGCATAGCATTCGCAATGGTGTTCTCGACTTCCTGCCATACACAATCTCTGCAGGGCTAAAACCAGTGCTCTCATGAGGAGCTGATCTCAAAGCGAACATAGCGGGAGGAATACACGCTTCGCACACGCATTTGTGTTCGTAGCAAATAGCTCTCAGCATCCGTTTCAGAACGGATTGCATACGCTCTACTGGATAAGATTGCGGGTGATTGATCGAGCTGTGCACTACTTTTATTCCACATTTATCCAAAAAGGTAGAGGTAAGGCAGCTGGTGAAGACACTAGCGCTGTCGCATTGGATTTCAGATGGAAATCCGACGCGTGCAAATATAGATAGCAGTGCATCCCCGATATGAGGGGAATCGAGCTCCTTAAGTGGTATCGTGTCTGGGAATTTTGTGGCTACACAGAGGGCCGTCAGGATGTACCGACAACTTTGCCTTCACTCTTGCAACGGCCTGGCGATATCAACTATTAGGTGCAGAAACGTTGCTGTGATAATTGCCACAAGCTTCAAGATTGCCTTCCACTTGTCCGTGGATTTACTCGCTCTGTGAAAATGGTCACATGAGCGTCCAAAGTCTTCGATATCCTTCCAGCAATTGGCCAAAAAAACTGAAGATAAATTCTAGCCTTGGTCTTCTTTATGCCGAGATGTCCTGGCCACGCGTTTTCATGCGCCAGTTTCAATAGTTGGCGTTCATACTTTAGTGGCACCATACTTGCCACCTTGCACATTTGTGTAGCTCCAACACAGGAGCCCTGCCTTCTGAAAAAAGACACACTCTTTTCTTTTGTTCCCGACTGTACGCTTTCTTTTAGCGCTTTAATCGAGAGGTCTTCCCGCTGCTCTCGAACGAGCGTTTTTAGATCTACTTTCGACAGCTCGCTCCAACTTTTCGCTACAGGCCAGAGCGCAGCACCCCTCTCGCTCTCGTCTAATGGCATCATGTCGTCTCCTCCGCCAACAGAGACGGCTTCCGCGACGGGTGGCTTGAGTGACTCACCCGAGAATGACCTGGTTGAGGCTCAATCGCCTCGCCGCCAAGGTCAAGCAGGTCAGCCCCTATAGCAAGTGGTGTTTCACTACACTTAACGAAATCAAGTTCTTGCGAAAGCTGCTGCGTTTGCGATCGCGTGAGTGCCAATGTACGCTAAGTTCGAGAAGAACGATTTACCCTGCTTTTTAAGAAGCTGCTCAGAGTTATTAGAAAAAAGATAAGGAAAAGAATTGGAAAGCGTGGCAGACACAGCCGCTTCCATGCGAAGCTTACTGAGCGGGCCTTCAATGAAAACCGTAGCGATTGGTAAGCAAGCATTCCGCTCCTGGCCGACTTGCCTGAACAACGCGCATTCTCATGCAAATTTGTCCGGAGATGCCAACGAAGGATGGACAACGTCCATGGTTGCCGCTGAATCTCGAAGCGCTCAAGGCTTTTTTCCATTCATGCTAATTTCCTGGAGATGTGGCTCTAGCAACCGCATATTAATTTCCGATACTCCAATTGTCGCGAAAGCAAACTTTTCTTTACAGTTTGCCCGTGGTGTGTAGCCACCGCAACACTCTTTCTCATCACGCGTAGGAGTGTGCGGAGCACGACGAAGAACACGACAACTATGGCACATGGGAGGAATGGTAGGCGGTGCTATCTAGCACAGCCCTGGTGAATCAGCTGTGACTGATACACAAAGCTGAACGGATGGCTCGCGCCAGCGGAGCTCTGGTATTGGGGCACCACCCTGCCGGACAGACTTCGCTCTTCACCCTGTATATTTCTCGGGACACTGGAGTACTAGCCTGTCTGAATTATGTACATAATAAAATTTTCTACTACTACTACTACTGTTTACTGCAATGTGCCTTTCCGTTTTGGAGTTGTAGTAGCTTAGCGGCTTCCGTTATTCGAACGCCCGTGGAGTATCCATGCGTTCTTTAGGAACCTCACTGAATTTCTACGCTTCCGTTTGCCCTTTCCCTACAGTGTCCTTCGTAAGAGACAGCTCCTTTCTGAAATTACGGTGCGGAGTGGGCTTCCGTTCCCATGTTTTTAAAAAGCCCTCTTTTCTTTCACTCTTTCAACGTGCACTGCCCTGCTGTGCAACTTTTGGCGAGTATAATACTCCTCAGCTAACTCTGCTGCCTTGCTAAGCTTCACTTCGCCAAGTTTGCCCTGCAGCCAAAGGTTGACATCATCCTCGATTCAGTGGAAAAATTACTCAAAGGCAATGCAATCTACAACTTTATCGCGATTGTCATAAACGCTTTCGCCCTTGAGCCATTCACTTATATTGGCTTTAAAATGAAACGCGAAGTCAGCATGTGACTATTTGCCCTTTTTGCGTACCGGGACCTCTGCCGGAAAACCTCGGGTGTCAACTTATGACATCTCCAAAACACTTCCTAAACCTCGTCATACCT